AAATGAAGAAATGAATTGTGCTGAAAATAAGTCATAACAGACTCTGTCTAAAACGCTGTCAAAGTTGTCCTGTCAGTCAGTTTAGTGATGTTTCTGGGATGCATATGAACAACGGTCAGGGTAGTGCATGCAGTTTAGGTGCATTTGAATTAATCTCCCAATATTGGATCTTCATAAAGATTATTCAGATTATCCGGATTATCCATGCAGATTATTTTTTCAATACTTGTAGTATGGCGAACTTGTAATATGCCATACATCGAGTGCGCCTAAGCGTCCGATTTAAGGATTTCATGTAGTGATTTTATTAGAATGCTTTAACATGCTTGGTTCAGTTGCCCGAGACTTTTGTGTTTAGATCTAAATTCGCGGAAAAACCTATTTATATAAAAAGAAAAAAAAGAGGCGAGAAAATCTATTTATACAAAAGAAGCAAAAATTTTGGAGCGAATTTTTTAAAAAAAAACGATCCTGCTTCAAATTACGATCGAGCGAAACAGAATTTACCTGTTGATATGTTCTTTTATCTTCCGGATTAAAATTATCAACTTTCTGTGTAATGTAATCAGTTTTAGCACTGTTTGAATTGATGTTCGATTCTAAGTAATACTTGTGCATAAATGGATGATCCAGAAAGCCACCAAATGGTCGGCCAAATACTGCTATTGGCATATGTCGAGGCCGTTTCCGGAATACCGTCTCACTCTTACAAATGCAATAACAGAGCAAAACCAGCTGTATGAGGAAATTGTTAGCCATTCTGTAAGCTCTAATCTGAAATCGTTTGCTAAAACATGCTTTTTGATCAGTTACAGGCATAATCAGCGAAATAATTTTTGGGTTTTCTCGTATAAAAACTTTTTCGCATAAAGATTTTTATGCGTTTTTTGCATCTGTGCAATGCAGAAAATGCATACTGATGAGGAGTTGTCTGTGTCTGTGTGTGCGCCGTGCATCTGTGCCGATTTTTCATCCCGAGACCTACAAAAACTACAGGGCTGAAACTTTGGAAGCTTAATTTACATGCATGTAGGGGCCTCCATCTTCAAAATAGGCCCTCTTACCCGTAGGGCACCCACGTACGGGCCCGCCAAAGTTTTTTTTCGGATAAGCTGTTAACTCGGAAACCTGAAAAGCTAGAAAATTGGAATTTTAAGGGGATGTTTCCCATCCAAGTAGGTATCAGTGAGCTCAAACCCAGCCTCTGGGTATGCATGGTTCCCACGTACGGGCCTGTGAAAGTCTTTTTACAGGGAAAACGTTAATCGGGAATCTGAAAAGCTAGGAGAATGGAATTTATAAAGAAAGTTCTCCGTCCATGTAGGTCTTAATGAGCTCAAATCCAGCACCCAAGTATGCGTGGTACCAAAAGTACGGGCCCGTGGAATTTTTTTCCGGTAAGTTGTAAGCTCGGGAACCCGAGAAGCTAGAAGACTGCAATTTTGAAGGAGTGTCCCCAGTCCAAGTAGGCATTAATGAGCCCAAATCTACCTCCCGGGTATGGGTGATTCCCATGTATGGGCCCGTGAATTTTTTTCTCGGAAAACCACGAAAGCT